ATATATATATATAGATTAAACCAGGGGATTTTATAAATAATAAATAAAACAACATAAAATAACTACAGTACATCTGCTTCACAACAGAAAATAGCTTAACATTTATGTTTTTTTGTGCAAACCTTAACTTAAGTGTACCACATCACAAGAATGTACATTTTTTCCCTACATGATTGCCATTTTAAATCATTTGCAGCTTTGCTAAAGTAATATTTGAGAATTAATAAAAAAAAAAAACTTCAGTAACCACTGCTATGGTATATATTTTTCATTGAAAAAGAAGGTACTCAACATCCTGTTCTCTACTGTAAATATATATTCCTTCGAAGACAAAGTGTTTCTGTCATYTCAAAATAAGAGCCTTTTAGGGGGCTTCTTTGGTCTCTAACCACGRCTACTTTTTATTACTTCTCCCTTATGTTAAATCAAATAATTCCTCAGGTATGGTCAGAGCCTTCTTTCTTTCATTGCAGTTAGATCGCCCATAAACGAACAAACATCCAGCAACTCCTTCAAGGAARGTCAGTTTCATTTATTTTAGCAGCATTAGTGTCTGAGCTCTGTTCTTGTGTTCCTTCCGCTTGTAAAAAGTTATCTGCTGTATTTTTCTTTGGCCTTCCTTTCGGTCTAACTGTGTTCTTTGTTGTAGTTTTGGGAGACAACGCTTCTTTCAGCTGCACATCATCGTCTGTATCCTGTTCTGACTCGACAAGCCAAGAGTCTGGACTTTTATCCCAAAAATCTTGGTAATCCCCGCTGTCGTGTTTCCTTTTGTTGGTCTTCTTCTGTTGGTATTCAGAGCCGGGTGTGTGGTGGCGCTGGATGTGACTCTTCAAGCTCACGTTGTGGTTGAAGCCTTGGTCGCAGAGCTGGCACCGAAAAGGCTTCTCTCCYGTGTGCAGGCGCATGTGGGACTTYAGATTCCCGGCCTGGTTAAAGCCTCGTTCACACACCACACACTTGTAAGGCTTTTCACCTGTGTGTACAACTAAATGCCTCCGAAGCCTGGAATGGAGGCGGAATTCCATCCCACAAATGTGACATTTTAACTGCGTTAACCCTCTGTGATCCTCCAGGTGTGCTCTATACTCCGGATATCTKGCGAATGCCTCCGAACAGTCGGGACATTTATACGGCTTCTCTTGAGTCAGGTGGATCTGTTGATGAGTCATTTTGGCTGCTTTGGTTTTGAACTTCACGTGGCAGTATTTGCAGGGRTACTCATAGTTTGCGTCGTGTATTCTTGAGTGAGCCTTCAAAGCGATCTCATTTATTAACCTCTTTCCACAAATAATACATGAAAAGGGTTTGACTTTATGCTCACAGACGTGAGGCTTTCGCTTGTCAAAAAAGGTCCCGCAGTCTGTGCAGAGCTGTCTGTGTTTGGGAAGGATTTTCTTCTCTTCCTCGGAGATCTCCCCATCAGACTCAGCTGGAAGCTCATCGTGAGACAAAAGCTCCTCGTCTGGGTCCCAGTTCTCRTCTGAATCCATATCTTGGGGGTCGCTGGACGCCTCTGAGGCCTCGCTTTCTGGGACACCACTTGGCTCATCATCTGCAGACTCTGTCTGTGAAAAGAAAGTAAAGTTAGATTTTAGAAGTTCTTCTGTTTAGCTGTTCATTTACTCAGGAAGTTACAAATGAGACTCAAAGTAACCTTTTCCATCGAGTCAAGGGTCTTTTGGATAATCTATGAAAATGTATAATAGGTTGACTTCAGGCCCAGGCCTTCCTTGTAAAAGAGATATGAGATCTCAATGGGACTTGCCTGGTTAAATAACGGTAAATAATAATAATAATAATAATAATTAAATCTGTGTTTATATAGTCTGTATCTTGTCATTTTGGTTAACACTTGCAAGAAAATTGTAATCATAAACCCATTCAGGACAGATAGCCAAACTATTTAATCATTATTTTATTTTACTGGATGTGTCCTTGTGCTATAAAGCAGCAATTCCTAATCGGTGAGACCTGCCAAAGAGCAAACCCTGGTTTAAAAAAAAGGTAAACCAGCTTTGCAATATCCCAAATTGAAGCTAAATTTCCCCACTAAGCCCTTTATCCTGCATCATACCACAGATGCAATTCCTGTATTTTACTGCTATTATACCTYAAGCAACACTGCTGCCATGTGTAGAATTGAGCAAGGTCATAACTTCATAATCTAAGTGGGGATGCCAACATTTCTCACACACTATACTAGCCCTCCAGAATGTAAGAAACATTCCTTTAAAATGTGTTAATGTAGCTCAAGGACGAAAACAAATAATCAAGCTTGACAATTTTACAGTATGTGAAAAAGAAAAAAAAATCGTGTAGGTCTTCTG